TGGTTATGATCATGTCCTACTCTAACAACCTGCCAAAAATGGAATACAATGTATGATCATAAACTGTAACCAAGCCCTCATTATTTTTGCCTAGATTAGGAGTTATAAAAAAAAATACAAGCTTTCATTCAAAAAAGTAAAAAAAAAATAAAAATACAAAAATGTAATTTATAAATATATTTGCACACATTAAATACAGTGGGTAGACAACAGCTGCAATTAAGTGTGCAAGTAAATTACAGACTATAGAGTCCACCCCTGGCTCTATGTACACCGAACAAAATTATAAATGCAACATTTTTGTTTTTGCCCCCATTTTTCATGAACTCAACTCAAAGATCTAAGTATGTACACATAAGGCCTATTTCTCTCAAATATTGTTCACAAATCTGTCTAAATCTGTGTTAGTGAGCACTTCTCCTTTGCCGAGATAATCATCTATTAGGCATATCAAGATGCTGATTAGACAACATGATTATTGCAAAGGTGTACGTTAGGCTGGCCACAAAAAAAGGCCACTCTAAAATGTGCAGATTTATTACACAGCACAATGCCAAAGATGTCGCAAGTTTTGAGGGAGCGTGCAATTGGCATGTCCCCAGAGCTGTTGCCCGTGAATTGAATGTTCATTTCTCTACCATAAGCAGTCTCCAAAGGCGTTTCAGGGAATTTGCCAGTACATCCAACTGGCCTCACAACCGCAGACAAAGTGTAACCACACCAGCCCAGGACCTCCACATCCAGCATCTTCACCTCAAAGATCGTCTAAGACCAGCAATCCGGATAGCTGCTACAACAATTGGTTTGCATAACGAAATAATTTCTGCACAAACTGTCAGAAACCTTGTCAGGGAAGCTCATCTGCATGCTTGTCGTCCTCACTGCGGTCTCGACTTGACTGCAGTTCATCGTCATAATCGACTTGAGTGGACAAATGCTCACATTTGATGGTGTCTGGCACTTTGGAGTGGTGTACTCTTCACAGATGAGTCCCGGTTTTCACTGTACAGGGCAGATGGCAGACAGTGTGTATAGTGTTATGTGGGTGAGGGGTTTTCTGATGTCAACATTGTTGATTAAGTGGCCCATGGTGGCGGTGGGGTTATGGTATGGGCAGGCGTATGTTATGGACAACGAGCACAGGTGGATTTTATTGATAGCATTTTGAATGCAGAGAGATACTGTGATGAGATCCTGAATCCCATGTTGCACGTATCTGTTCACAATTCCTGGCTGGCATACTCACCGGACATGTCACCCATTGAGCATGTTTAGGATGCTCTGGATCGGCATATATGACAGCGTGTTCCAGGTCCTGACAATATCCAGCAACTTTGCACAGCCATTGAAGAGGAGTGGACCAACATTCCACAGGCCACAATCACCAACCTGATCAACTTTATGCGAAGGAGATGTGTTTCACTGCGTGAGACAAATGGTGATCACACCAGATATTGACTGGTTTTCTGACCGCTCAGACCCCCTCAATACAGTAAAACTGCACATTTTTAGAGTGGCCTTTTATTGTTGCCAGCCTAAGGCACACTTGTGCAATAATCATGCTGTCTAATCAGCATCGTGATATGCCACACCTGTGAGGTGGATGAATTACCTCTGCAAAGGAGAAGTGCTCACTAACACAATGTTAGACAGCTTTGTATACAATATTTGAGAAAATAGGCCTTTTGTGTACATAGAAAAAGTCTTGGATCTTTGAGTTCATCTCATGAAAAATGAGCAATCTGGGGATGTAATTTTTGCGGGGTTCCTGGTTATAATGGGGGTACTTTTGGGGTATTGAATATTTTGTGTATGTTTTCCTGTACCTGAGAGATAATGGAGTTATAGTTTTCTCACACAATTATCTCTCAGGCACAGACGACCCTGGGAAACAAAAAACCCTGTAATTTTATGTTAGAGACCCCATGTTAGGGGTGAGTGCATAAAAGCAGTGGGTGGCCAGACTAAAATCAGTTGACTCCCAGAACTATGTCTCGTCTAGTTACTAGGGGGATGGATGCTTGAGTGTTCCAGCCTGGCTGAGAGGAGAAATTAGCGGAGGTAACCAGTCGGGTTACCTAGGTTCCGCTACAATGTGGTCTTACCTGTGATTTATAAAGAGGAAAAATTATATTCTCATCCTGAAAGTTAATGCTCTTTTTCATGCATGGCAATACCTTACTGGCAATTGTTATTGCACATTGTTGCATAGTTTGTTGTCTATAACAATTCCCAAATCTTTCTTGTGTGTTATCCCTAATTCGCTTCCATTAAGGGTATACGTTGCTTGTACATTCTTTACGCCGAAGTGCATAACTTTGCATTTTTCTACATTAAATTTCATCCGCCATTTGAGTGCCCATTCCACCAGTCTATCTAAATCCCTTTGCAGCAAAGTAATATCTTGCTCACATTGTATTACTTTAGAGTTTGGTGTCATCTGCAAACACTGAAACATGACTTTCAATGTTTTTTTCAAGATCATTTATAAACATGTTAAATAGAAGGGGCCCCTGAACAGAACCACAAGGGACACAACTTGCACCCTCTGTCTAGCAACATTTCCATAAATGACAACTCTCTGTACTCTCTGTTTTTAAGCCAGTGTTCTACCCAAGATTTTCATCTAGACCATTTTTTTTTTTTTTTTAAAGATTGAACACTAATCTATTGTTTGGAACTGTATCAAACGCCTTGGCAAAATCCAAATAGATCACATCCACTGCAACACCCTGATCTATAATTCTACTTACTTCTTCGTAGAATGCAATCAAGTTAGTCATATCAATGCTGATTTTTGCTGATAACCACATTCTTCAAGGAATTTTTGAATATTATCCCTTAATAACCTTTCAAATACTTTCCCAGCCACAGAGTTAATCTTACAGTTCTATAATTTCCAGGCAAGGATTGTAAACCCTTTTTGAATATAGGATTCACATCTGCCTTCCTGTAATCCTACGGTACACTTCTGGAATCTAGAAAGATTAAAAACAGAGGTTCACTTATTTCCACATTTAGTACCTTAAGAACTTGTGGATGAATACAGTCAGGCCCCGGAGCTTTGTTTATATTAACTTTCTTTAGTTGCTGCAGCACCTTGTCTTGAGTCTTCCAATTACAATTTTTCTGCAAGTTTTTTGCAGAAATCATTTGCATATCTATTGCCATAGGTTATTCCTTAATATATATGGAGGCGAAATGGTTATTTAAAATTTCTACATTTTCCTGGTCTTCGTTAACTAACACCTCCATTCTGGTTTTTAGTGTACCTACTTTTTTTTTTTTTTTTTAGATTTTATGTTCTTAGAAAATGCTTTAGGGTTGTTTTTTCTTTCTTTGGCAATCACTTTCACATTTTGTAGCTTAGTGAATCTAATCACCTTTTAGCATGCATTATTGGCTTTCTTATATCTTTTATAGGATGCCTGTGATTTGTCCAATTAAAAGGCTTTAAATGCCCTTTTCTTATTTTTAATTTCTTGATTCACTTTCCCACTAAGCCACATTGGTTTCAATTTTTTTTTTTTTTTTGTTTATTACCCAATGGTACATACTGAGAAATTTACCTTTATAATATTTACTTGAAGATATTCCATTTATGCTCTGTGTTCTTTTCACTAAAGAGTTTATGCCAGTCGATATAACAGTGAGAGAACACATGTAGACATCTGCAGGCAGTGATGGAAGTTGGCCTCGCGGGACCACTACATTAAGCCATAGAGGCTTGAAAAATTAACTAATTGACTCCTAATTCACTGGAGGCCAATAACCAAACTATAAAAGGATGGAACTTATGGTAGAAGATTCATAGTATGTTGAAAATGACATATCTGGATGTGTACTGTCAGGTATGTAGTTTGTCACTGCTAGAATTTATTAGGCCAAGACCTACAAGAATTAATGACAAAGGTTGTAGGAAGAATTGAAGGTGAATATAACCTACCAGGCTGTGAGTTGGATGGTGCTAAATCAAACCTAAAGACAAGGTCTAGTACCTACTAACCAGCACCGGGCACCACAGGATTACACCAGGAAACCACAGGATTACACCAGGAAATATATATATAGCGAGGGCTTGCACTCCTGGTGTAATCCTGTGGTGCCCTTATGGAAGCTAATGCACAAGTTAATAGTTGAATATCTACAGTGATCCTGAAGAAATAAAGTCCAACAGGATTATTACAATACATATGCTTGAATTGAAACATGACCCACCTATATTGACCAGACACATATTGTAAGAAATTATGACCCTCCTACAAGGATATTCTTTTAG